TTCTTCATGGTTGCAAGCTATGAACGCGGCCTTACATCCATTTCTGTTGACGGCAGCAAACTGGAAATCGGAAGATAGCAATGGGGAACGAGAGAACAAGAGTATGAGCGGCCTCCAGATTAAAACCGTATCCTTTGCGACGATTCTCTGGCATCACTCTCCTAAGCGGTACCAACGGACGAGGCTTGATGTCCGCGATAGACCTTTCACACCTTTCAGAAGATGTTAAGCACGGCCGTTCTAGATAAATGACCAATCGGGAGAAAAGCACAGTCAACTGAAGAAAACAATGTGTGAGTATCGCGGAGAAATGCCGAGCCTGTGGAATTGAGAAAAATGCAATTCTGCAGAAATGCCGAAAATTAGGAGTCGCCGTTTTTCCCAGAAACGCTACAGAGGGTGGGCTGGACGATCAATCTCTATCAAGCCTTTGTAACAGATTTCGACAACTCCGCCGATACTGCATTTTTCCGAAGATGTAGTAGTCATCTACAGACGCGGCCCCGCGAACTCCTTAACACATTCGAGGCGAAGGCCTATTTCGCCCAGAACTCACGTTCGTCGTTGTTTTTGGCTTATTTTTACAATTTTTTCTTCGTATTGATGTGTTAATTGTGTAAATGTATGCTAGTAGAATATAATCAGTCGCAAAAAGAACAAAAAAATATGCGCGTGTTTTCGCAATACTGTACGAATGACCGAAAAGAGGGGTTTCCGCGTGTACTCCCGGGAGTACACGCCGCCTCGAACGTGTTAACATAATTTTATAGCAAGATGCAGCGCATATGTGCAAGGCAGTGATAGCACATTCGACAGAAAGAAAAGGAGAAAAAGGGAAAAGGAAGGACTCCCAAAGCCTCACGGACTTCAGTAGCGGCGGATACTAAAAGCAGATGTTGCGGACTGATAGTTAAGATTTAATGGACGAAAAAATGACATGGCGACGACAAAGATGAGCGACTCGGACGAGAGAAATGAGTCCATTTACAGAAATAATACATCGCAGACGAAGGAATACTGTCCAAAAATCGTGAACAACCACTTCGTTAAACTTACCTCTTGTCCGAACACATCACCATACAGCGGCTTGCCATAGTCATCAACTGGTGGTTTACCCCATCCTCCCGCATGATAGCCGAATGCGCATCCTTCAGGGATAGGAGCATTCAGTCCAGCAATGCGAATATTTGGATAACTTGGAGGTGGACCATAACGCTGCATGGCGATAAGCCATGGAGGAGGAAATTTGTGAGCGTTCTAAAACCGGAGAAATATTCACGATCCAATTTTTTTTCGCTGGAAAACCAACTGGTAAAAACGCACCGGTCCAACTGGCATTCCAAGAGCAATCCTCAGTTCATCGGAAAGATTTCCCGGCTTTTTGTCCTTCATTAGTGTCTCCACTTCCTGCGAACAATATTTTTTGTGAAAATGCTGCAAAATTAATAATAAGTGTCAATGCGAATACCTTTCCTTCGTAGTAGAGTTCGCCCATCATAGTCATTGGTGGTTTCGTCTGCCACTTGAAGAAAGCGTCATGCAACTTCTGGTAGTCAATATCAATTTTTCCCAACTTTGGGCGGGCACGTTCACGCATTTTCGATTTGAGATTTTGATTCTCTTCCTGAAAAGATAGACTGGAAGATAATAGAAGACCTGAGAAGATATGAGAGGATTTACCTTTTCCCACAAAGCTTCACGCATATCCTGGATGCCAGTACGTTTGATAAAGTCAGGGAGTTCAAAAGGAGGGCGTTCGAATCCGCGTTTCCCAGATAAGTATCTGAATAATAACCATTCCTAACTCTTAAATGTTCTTGTATATAAATCGCACATACTTTCGTTTGGCATTCCAATGACGAGGAACGGGTACAGTATTGCGGTAAGACTTTAGTGCCACAAGTATAAATGGATCTCTTGAAGTTACATCTGCCCATTCAACGACGTCAGGGCGACGCGTAGACTGTAAGTATTAATTGATAAAGCTCCTTTGAATCATGGCTAGCAAGTTCGAAAATTTCTTTGATTGACAGGTTGTGACTGGGAGCGTGAACAATCAAAGGTATCCCACAGAAGAAGAAAAAAGCAACCTCCTTTAACTTTGCAATACTCGGTTGCATAGCCAAACGAAGCTTCCTCCTTGACATTCTCTCAGGGTCATTAGAATCATTCAATTTGTCCTAAAAAATTAAACCATCACAAGCGAAGGAGAAGGTGCCAAAAAGAAGTACTTACATTCATTTCTTCTTGCAAAATTTTCTCAGAGATGGAAGCACGATTGCTTTCTTCATCCTTTTTGTGGTCCTTCCCGGAAGAAACAGCATCTTCTCCCTCGGCGCCATCAGCGTTCGGTTCAATCTTAACATAGTAGAACTCATAACAAAGCAATACAGAATCGTTTACAGATGAGTTGATACTGAAACAACCTAAGTAACCTTCTTACCTTGAAAGCATTGAAAATCGCATTGAAATACTGATAATTGGGATCATTCTCGTCCAACTTCGGTGTTTCCCCGACGTAGTCTATCTCCACTTCGAGAGTCTCTGCCTTGAATCACAAATCATTAGCCAAGCCAAAGTTGAAGAAAATAAGAACTTTCCAATTATAAGAAAGATAAATGATTAGAAAGTAAGATCAGTAAAAACTTTAAAAAATTCCAAAACAGAAAATCAGAAATGTAAGGAAGGTCACCTCCAGGATAGCTCTGGGTTTAGACCAATTTCACTCTCACATATACTGTTTGTTCCCTTCTTCACAGTGATGTTAGTTCACACGCAAGATCACAATGATCACAGGAATCTGTGAAACTCGCGGAAAAACAATGCATACTTATCAACCTGGAGAATCCGCAGTTTCCGTGGAATCACAGACTGCGCAGAATGCGCGGAATTGGAAGAACTGGCGAAATCGCCGAAGCAAACATGGAAATCGATTGTCCCCCCCCCTCTGTTAATCGAAACATATGCATTCTGTTTCTGCAGATTTCACGCATTCGGCGGAATCTTTCTGTACGAACTTGGCCTGAGGGAGCTTGCTCGTTGTGAAACAAACAACAAAATAAGGACAGATTCAACAAAATAATCACCACAAAAACGAGTGACTGCTGTAAAGCTATCGCACAAAAACACTCAACCAAGGTGGCGTAATGGATCGCGCACTCGTCCGGAAGCGTGAGGTGTAGGTTCGAACCCCTCCCGGAGTTGAGATTTACGTCCACAATTTCAGGATCAAATCCCTTGGGAAAAATAAAGCATCAGACCTGTTTTGGAGCTATGCTTTTTTCAGCGACAAATTTTTTGTTCGAGCTCTTTCAAAAGATCAATCACGACACAAAGAGTTGTTTTTGGACGCACCAGTGTTTTAGGCCCGTTTTGTTCTCCTTCATTTTGTGCGTCTGCGTCAGACTCCTGCTTCTCCGGACCAGCAGCAGCATCATTGACCGTTTCGCCATCCTCTACTGCTCCACGCCGTCGTTTTGACAACTTCTTTTTCTTGTTCTTCAGCCGACGACGCTCCAACTCCTATAAGGCTTGTTCAGTGAAAGGAATCAAATTAAGTGCTTCCATAGTAAGTGGTTGCGGTAGACATGCTGTTTGCAAAACAGTGAAAAGGCATTACCTGCTTCTCTTTTTTCGTCAGGGGTTTTGTTGGCCCATTCACTTCTTCATCAGAACTGAATCCTTCATCAGGAGAGACCATCACTGAAAAAAGGCAACTTCTGTTCAAATGTCATGTTATATCACATTCTGGTTATATATAAAACACAAAGACTTTAGAAATGACAACTGGATGATTACCAATTAGTTTGCAAATCAAGTTGTGAAAGTTTAGAGCTTTGCAATACAAATAATCATCTACAGGAATAAATGAGAAGGATAAAGCAACAGCAACAGTCAAAGATCCAGCAGGTATTTCCCACAAAAAAATTCCTTTAAACACAGGAATGGAAGAGAAGAAGCTTTGCGCGTAGGCGAGGCACACCAAAAGCGGAAGATAGCACTAGAGTAATCTATGAAAAGGTAGGACAAGTACTTGAACAAGTTTTACAGGTTTTCTAGTGGTGGTTCATTTTAGAACTCCCATGCTGCTCCGACCACTTCGCGGCCGCAGCGCTTCTGACGCAAATTAAATGGAGCAGCTTTGCCTTGAAGACTAGATCCAATGGCAGAAGAGAAAGATGCTGTAATAAGATAATAAGCACAAGTTGATTAAAAAACCCAAGAGCAAAATCATT